TCTTACCGAAGCAAAAATTGCTACATTATAAACCACTTGTTTATTTCAACTTTATTTTTTTCAATTTTAATTTGATCACCCTTAAAATGGTCGGAATTTTTCTAGATTATGCGGAAAATTTAAATGTATTTTTCTACTCAAGTCAATTTAGATTGTTCTTCTTAATATTTTTTTATTTATTTATGTATTCAAACATAAATTTGTAACACATGCATATATAAGAATTTCGGCAAATACAAAAACAGGCTCTTAATCAGAAAATCATTTGATCCAATAAAATTAAAATTATTTTGAATCGACAATATTTCCGTATTCAATATAAAAGAAAACGTTTCTTAAGTCATCTTAAATCAAAATTAAATTAAATAGCTCTGCAAAATAATGAACAGCAACTGCATGAGTTCTGTTAAAATCACCATCCTTCCTTCCTCACTCTAATAATTTGTAAATTTTATTATAAAAACAAAAATCGCCTTACATGAATTATTTTATGCGAAAGTTAAAATCCTTAAGACTTTAATCTGCTCAGATAAATTTACATTTAGTACTTAAGACTTTTCGGCTTGCAAGTAAAGATTTTTCTTATGCCATAAATTCTAATTTTTAAAGAATTTTACTTTATAATATTTGACATAATAATTTTTCACATTCACATACCAAATCAATTGAAAGGAAATTAAATATCAAAGATGCTTTTTATATTTGTACAACGAAGTCTTTCAGAAGAAATTTTTATTTGTGTCCTTAAAATAGGGCAACTGTTCAAAAAATGATTGGCGTTTTGTATATTATGTATGAATTTTAAAACTTTTCTCACATTAATAAAATTTTAATACAAATATAGAAGCAAAATTTATTAGAATAACTTACATAAGTTGCATATCAATTATTTTTTTATCTTATGTAATTTTAAAATCATCTAAATATACTTCATATGTGTAAATTAAATTACAACATCTCATATAATATACATTTAATATTCAAATCAATATTTGTTATAAAATATTGAAATAATTGAATGCAACGCGATGTAGAATATCATTATAATATGAGTATATGTGTTTTAGTACCCGAGTATATCTACTTTTACTTCCTCTTAAAATAAATAAAATAATCTTCATATGCAATATACAAAGAACAAATTCGGATTATACAAATTTCAAGCACTTTTCCCTTGAGCAAATAAAAATACATTTTCTAGATTCTAGAATGTAGGGGTTGCATTTAGCTATTTAATTTAATTCAGTAATTGTACCAAAATATGTATATGAAATTATTGCATAAAATTAGGACGAGCAAACAACAAAATAAATTGAAAGAATATGCCTGTCGAATTTGACGGTTAAGTAGGGCTCAAAAAAGACATAATATAATAATCATATTCTTTGATGGCATGGACTTTGCCGTTTACCTTGTTGCTTTTTTAGAAATTTGTGTTTCATTAGTACAAGGCCTTTGAAAATAAAATTTTACGAAATTATTTTAACGAAATAATTTATTTATTAGTTTCTAAGAACCGCTTCGAACTTCAGTATCAACAACCATTTCATTATTATAATGTTTGTTATGCTATGTCCCTGTTGAAGAAGCCAATAACTATTGTATTTGCAGAATTTAAAAAATGATTGTGATTCCAATAAAATGAATAGTTAAAAAATGGACTTGAAGAGGCTAAAAATTTTTGAGAGAGAAGAAATATGCAAACATTTTAATATAAAGAAATAAGTTCCTAGAAAAGATTGTGTTATAAAATTTCCACTTTTTATTTCAACGAGTGTATAGGAGCTTTATAAACAAACACACGGACGGACAGAGTTAAACTAATAAGCACTTTTTTTCGAAGCACGCGCTACAAATCGATAATAAAAGCAATATGCATTGATAAATTTCATTGATAATAAGAATAATCATGATATTGTGTTGATGTTGATGATGATGATGATTATAACGGTAATATTGCAGGTATATAAAAGGAAAAAAATAAAAATTATTATGTAATATAGAAGATTCAATAACATTTTTAATGTAAATTTTAAATTTAATAAAGAAAAAATGAAAATTTATAATTGATGACGACACTTAAGAACCACAGAGAATGTAAACTGATCAATGCAAATTTCTATGTGATATAGAACGTAAATTTTTTTCTTTTTCATTTTCAGTATAAAAGAAAATTTCCCCTATATATTTTCTCTCGTTTATTTTAATTAATTGATGTATAAAATCTTTCATTTTTTTCCACTAATTATGAATAAAATCGAAAAAATTAAATTAATAAAATGGTTTCAATTTAAATATAAAAAGAAGAATTATGTTTTAAGAGAAAAATTTTTTCATATATATACAAAATAATTGATATATTGACAAATTCATTGAATATTAAAGTAGAGCTATATGTCGGAGTTTAAATACTTTACAGGGAGAGAAATAATATTTATTAGATAATATTTAAAAGATGGTTAAGAACAGAACTGAATAAATTTACTAAGAAGCAATTAAAATGTGTTAATGTGGAAAATTCCATTTGTAGAAAATATATATGTAATATTAAAAACTCTAAGAAAATTATTAAGACAGTATAACAGTTGCATGAATATTAAATTACTTATAAACTTTTCAAACTATTTAAGTAAGAAAACATTGCCGTAACTGCATGCAATTTTATTCTTGTAATCTCGTAAATTGGCAAATGGCACTTAATTAATATCAATGGTGCCAATTCCAAATTTAAAAAATCAATTGTTTGTTTAAATCCCTTCAATTGATCTACAAGCAACTATAATTTTTGTCTATATCTAATATGTAATATCCTCCCCTAAATGTTTTACTGTGCATAAATATAGTAATGAACTTTTATTACACACAAACTACAAGGTTTTCATAAATATTAAATACAATATTATTAGTTTATTTAAGCTCTAAAATTTTGACTGACTTATTCACATAGACCCAACTTTCAAAAAAAAAAAAACACAAATAGCAGTCTACCAGGCCAGGAGTTCAGGAGTTAAAAGAATCTCAGAACTGAAATACAACATTCAGAATGAATTTACTACAGGCCATGTGTGAGAGAGTCTTTGAAAATTTTGATCCTCTGGTTGGATAATAAAATAATGTAATTTTTCACATTTAATTGCAGTAAGCAATTTTTTAAGTAACAATAGTGAAAAATTAAAAAATCTAATTTTTGTTTGTTTCAATTTAAAACGACTCGTTAAGGACCCTATATAAAATATAGTGAGTAAGCTACCAAAATTTTACAATTAAAAATATGTAAATAAATTTATTTATTTAATATTCATATGAATTTTCCTAATTTTGACAAATTTATCTAACAAAATAATTTAACTCGCAAAATCTTAAAATATCGTAAAATATAGAAAAAATTTTTATTTCACTTGAAAGATATTTTGAAATTTTACGGTATATTTATGGTTCGTGTATTTGATATTTAAATTAAATTTGTTATTAGAAGTGAAAGTTTTGTTTTGAAACGAATTTATTAAAATTGTACTGTCGATACTAGCGCCAAAGGATTAAATGTATTTGAATTTATAAACACGTAAATAATGTATTTTCAATTTTCATTTTTAAATTTTATTTATTTTAATATTTATTTCAAATAGGAGAAATATATTCATAATTATAAAAAGAGTTAATTTTTAAAATATTACATGAGACTTGTATATACAGTTTATTTATTTTACATAAAGTATTTGCTTTAGCAAAAGAAAATTTTCGTTAATCCTTCATAGACGCAAACCTTAAAAAAATTTAGAACTCATTTATCATTTATAGCAAAAATTTTTGTATTAGATTGGATATGAACCACATAAAATTTACCATTTTTACTTCATAGATGTCAGTGTTAAATAAACAAATTTAAAACGGTTTAATTTAAGAAATTCAGTGTTTAAAATTCAATTTAAAATTTTTAAAGTATTTAATTTGAAAATTAACACTTAGATATAAATAATTTTAATAATTGTTATATTAAATGTTATTTATTGCTTCTATAATATATTATTAGAAAAGTAATAGATTCCCTCATAGATTAGTGGTTTTTGATCGTAAGATATGTCAAAAGGTGCCGTTGAAATTTATAGGGTTTTTATAATTTAATAATTTTTGTCTTCTCTGAAGCCAGGACTAGAATAATTGAATTTTGTTCTGCCTTGACACTATACTAATGTCCAACCATTAAACTGTTATTAAATTAATTACAATCAAATTTGCAATACGAAATCCATCTTATACCGTAAAGTTGTTTAAAAATCCTTGTTATTAATTTCTGTAATTTTATTCTGCAAACTAAAATACATTTAATTTAAAAGAAAATTCCGTATTATAAATTTAATTTTATATCAATTTTATTTAAATGAATTAATCACAGATCTTTTTTTAATTTAATCAAACTTACATATAGAAAAAAAAAATGTTGAAAAACGAATATACTTTTTAATTACACATATTTTAATTATTAAGAGCACAATCAGAATGATATATGAAATTTTTAGAAATTAATACAAAAAAAATAAATTGAAAAAATAAAATCTTGTTTTCTTTGATTCAGACAATAAATATTCTTAAAAAATTAAAGAGAAATTCAAAAAGTTAAGATTTAAACTTAACATTTTCATACAAAATTTCAAACACAAAACTTAAAACTAAATATCAACATTATTCAAAAAACTGAAAAACTTTAATTAAAAGAAAATATGAAGGATAAATTTTCATTGTTCATAGTTTTCAATTAAATTCAAAAATTTAAATTTGCATATAATTCAAAAAATATATTCTGCCAATTTTAAAGATTAAATGGGATTTAACCATTCTCGAAACAATAAAAAAAAAAATTATTTTAATTAGAATTATATTTGACAATATTTGTAAAAATTAATTATTATAAACTAAAGCATAAATTTTGGTTCAATTCACAATAGAGTTCAAATAATTTTAAACAGTTCACAATATTTAATTTTATATGTTTTTCAATATTTTCACCATGGTCTCCACATACTGTCATTAGAATCATCTAAAAAATGTTTTGAACTACTGTTTCCTTCATCTTCGCTTTCTAATTTAATAATTTTATTACAAGATTGATTTTGTTGTTGATTTTCATCAATACTATCATCTATTGATGTTCTTAATCTTTTTTTAGCATCATTTTGATTTTTCATCGATTCATCGAGAACGGTGGATGAAACATGAGGCTGTTGTAAATGTCCAGTACGTGATATAAGTTTAATTGATTCACTACTAGGTGGTGTTGAAAAATAATCAGATGTTATACTTTGTTCTAATGGTGGAGTTTTTGTACCATAATCTGATGTTGCACTTGTATGAATTGTTGAATCATCACCTAAACTTGATATTGATGATACTGGACTTAATGGTGGACTAGTAACTGTTGTTGCTGTTACTCCACTACCTGACATTTGTAATGGATTTATTGATGAATTTATATTATTTATTTTAATATGATTGTGTTGATTATATTGTTGTAAATGATTATTATTATTATTTATTAAATTATTTCCATTTAAATTATTTAATAGTGATGATGAATTTGGACTAATTGATGATGCAATAGTTGACGTTGGTTTTGTAAATGCACTTAATCTAGGAAATGTTGATGAAAATTCAATCGATTGTGTTGATAAATTTGGCATTAAAAGTGATGATGGCAATGTTGTAGAATTTGGCATTATTAAAGCTAATTCACCAGATGGTAAACGAGATGGTATCAATTGTACACCATTCATATTTATTCGACCATTATTATTTACATCTTGATGATTTCCATTTGAAGTAAATAATGATGCTGCAGCTGCGGCTGCTGCTGCTGCCGCATTATTAAAAGTTGTTCCGAAAATTGATTGATTTAAGCCAGAACTATTTAATGCTTGTCGATAACTTGAGGAAAAATTACTAAATGTACCAATTTGTTCAATACGTGTTGAACAATTATTTAAATGTTGCATTAAACGTTGTTTTGTACCATTATCAATTCCCTCCAATTGGCCTAGAAATCTAGAAACTTCTTCAGCACATTCTGTAAAACCAGTTTTAAATTTATGTACAACAGCTGGATCAGTTTGTATAGCTAAATTAAATTGTTGACGCTGAATTGATTGCAAATGTTTAACTGTCATTTCAAGAATATCAGCTTTTTCTAATTTTGTATGACGTGCTGGCTGTAATCATAAAATTAAAAATATTAATTTAGAAAAATCATAAATTTGAAAAATTTTTTAAAACTAAATATTTAAATAAATTATGAATTGATACTAAGCAAAGATTTGACTCTAAAACATAAAAATCTTTATGATCACATTTTGAGATTTTTCAACTATGAACAGCAGAATAAGATAAATACAAAATTTTAGATGTATTTACATGCAGAAAATGACCCAACAAGTGACTCATTAAATTCCACAAAGTTTAATTTCCATATTAAAGCTTAAACCTTGTATATATTTTTTTAATTGTTTCCCATGAATTTTTTTAAAAATTTCAAACCTGCTTTACATTTCGCCTTAAATTAATACGTTCCATATTGAAAAATATTAACTACTGAATTACCTTAATTACAAAACGTGACTAAAACATCCCTATTTTTAAAAGATTATAAATAAAACTTCAACACAAATATGCGTAAATAAATGGGGGCCATACATGTTTATAATTGCAAAATTCTTAAATCAAATATATAATAGCCCATACATTACCCTTTAACTTTTAATATTGGTACATTCTGAATCCCACAGGGCAATTATTGAAATCTGCATATATTTTGCTTTCATAAAAATTACAATAAGGAATACTTTAATTAAATTTCACTTTAAGTTCTTCTTTAAATCATAAACGATACTCAAAGAATTTAAAGTGAAATATTCAAAATTATTGAAAAATTAAATTTTGCACACACTTACATGAGTATATGTTAATGTATATGACTTAATTTATTATTATTTCACTTAAATGTTATTCCTCAAAAACTGACAAATTCTGTCTGCTATTTTCTTATAAATGATTGGTATTAAGTCTCATTTAAAAAAATACAAGGAAAAATTTATACATTTTTCATTAAAAAACCCTAACCCATCGTTGAGCATTTGAAAAGTAATCAGAAATATAAGCAAATCGTCTACAAAACTATAAAACTCAAAAATCTTGCACGAATTTTATTCTCAAACAAAACTTTCCTCGGAAGTAGATTAACAAAAATTTGATGCTAACCCTACGGTATTCTTAGGACAATTACTGCCAAATCTCAATTCCAACTTATTTCTAAAAAATCGCCTAATCAATTTATCACGAAAACACTTGCTGAAAACCACTGCCAATAAAGTTTAATAAAACTTTCTCTTTTTGCTCATTTTCTCTACGAAACCTCTGCGAAATATTTTTGTACGAAAACTCCTCCAAATGACAACCCTTGCATTTACATTGAGATGTCATTGCAAGTTCCCTTAAAACTTGTTGTCAAAAAATGCTTATAATCATTCTTATATATTCTGAACAATAAGTGCAAATCCCTTATTTTCCCAATCAAAAATTAATGTCCACTGCGACAGAGTATTTTTTTTTTTGTATAATTTTTCTATATTACGTTTTAATGTACCTGTTCATAAGCACAATATTTACTCATGTTTGTTTATACCAATATGTGCGCCGTCTTAATGTTATATCTGAAGTGTTAAGTACCTGTCTAAGTCCATTATTCAGTTTATAATAAGTAAGTATTTCGGTATTATTTTTTGTGCTTCTCTTTTTTTTTTTCATTTCTCTTTTTTCTACATCTTCGCATTTTTCAAAATAATTTTTCATCGGGTATAATTTTATTGAAAACATTGAGTATAAAAATCGAATCAAAAATGCGTGGGAATTTTTTTTTTCTTATAAGTCGAGTTCATCACTTTATATGTAATGATGTTTGTGCATCTGTGTATAGGATATCCTATTTGAATGTAAAAGTAAAAGGTACCACTAGTATGATTTTTTTTTGTTTATATTTTTACTTCTTTCTTTGAACTTGTTACAATACAACTTTGCACAAAATTTAGAGCATTCCTTAATACTGCAGTACAAAAAAAATTGAGATGAGATGCATGAGTATATTATAGGTTCTCATTATTATCGATGTGTATGTACTTAAGTATATAACGTATATGCAATAATCGGACAGCATAACAATATAACACCATATAAAAAAATGAGAAAAAACCAGATGAAAAATGAAAAACTCGAAAATATTTTATGAGAAAAAAAGGAAGATTTGAAGATGAATAAAATATGCTGCCTTTTTTTCTCAACCACAAATATTATACTTTTGGCTTTTTAGAATGAACAAACAAATGAACGAATCAATATAATGATGGCATTGGAATGAGATGCAAAAAAAAAATTCTAAAATTTTGAAAACTCTTCGGTACGTATAGGTTTGCTTTAATAAATTTTTGAGTTTTTGAATTTGTATTGTCATGCAGATGAGAAATTTCCAAAATTTTAACACAAATTTTCTTAATATTTAAATAAATAAAAAAATTTTTTCTACTTATAAGATTTTTCACTATAGAATGCTTTCAAAATGCTGCTACTGCAAAGCCTCAATTTTATTTCACACTTTATCAATATAAATCGAAATTCGATTCGATTTTATTCTGTCAAATTATTTTAATACATCTACATTGGCTAAAAAATTTTCAATTACAGTTCAAAGAGCTAAGAATTTAAAACTTAATTTACTATTTACTTAAATGACGCCTCTACACTTAAAATTCAATGTGATTCATAACCTATAAAACGTCACTTTTACTTCAAATATTAAACTAATAATGATAATATGAAAAAGGTCCAATAAATTATATGTGGTCCAGACAATTCAATAAAATATTATTATAAATTGATCTGAATACGAAATAAAAACTCTTCGAGTAGAAATTCAAAGGAAAAAAACTCTACGTAAAAATAATAAGTAAACAAATCGATTATTAGAAATATTTCAATCTTAAATCGATTTGAAGTTTCTTTTCTTTCTTGTTTTTTTTCTTTTTTGATCCTCTAGAGATATTTTGAGACCAAGATACAAGAATTTTCGACTTAAAAAACAAAAGAGAATAAAAAAATCCACTTGACTGAAGTGTACAATTTTATCTTTTTTTTTGGTTTTGTTTTTTACCTTCTATTGTTGCCATTTTATTATTGCTATTGTAATTTTTTAAAATAAGCGGTATCCTTTATTAAATTTATTTACTTTATACGAACAGGTAAATATTTAAAAAGATGAAATGAGGAAAACAAAAAGAAATTCGAAAAGAAGTAAAACAAAAACAGAATTGGAATTCAATTTAAGCGGAAAATCTTTTCTGTAAAATTGGATCAAAGAGTGCGATCTTGTTAACAACTCACTACCACTGTATTCATTGACATACTGATATTTAAAAAAAATAATATTTCGTAAAAAAAAAATTAGTTCTGGAATTATTTCGATCTGAAAACTCTTAAAGTCTTAAGGACATTTCGAAATTTTTTGAATTCTTATAATTTTAGCTGGGAATGCACTCGTTTGGTGGTATTTGAGATTAAAATTATTTTAATCATTAAAAATTTTGGAATTTTACTTTGAAATTTTGAATTAATAAAAATATTAATATTTCAATAGTTATAGCTACTCTGTAGAAAGAGAAACCTTTATCTATAGAAAAAGAATTTCATTTAATTATATTTTAAAATTTCTTTTATTATAAGACAAGGCTTGTTAATAAAAAATTAATGTTAGTTTATTCCTTTCCAAAAATTATAAAAAATAAAGCTTAAAAACAATTTAAAGAGTGAACCGTGTTATTATGACGAATTTAAATCTTTAAACTGCTAGTGCTATTAAATCTATAATATTTTTATTTCTAAATTATTTTAATAATAATAAAATTAAAGTTAAAAGAAAAATATGATATTTTAGCTCTAATATTTTAAATGTCAGCAAAGGCAATCTATTCTATTCACTTTCAAAAAAAAAAAATGCAGCTATTAGCAATTTACAGATTAATATAAGCTTACAACCCATGTAACATTATTGACTTTTTTAGTACATACATAATATGTGTATAAATAAATTAAAAGAATGTAACTGTATGTACAAAAATTACATGATCATAATCATAAATGTCATATGTATACAAATAACGTAAAAACAAGTCATTTTTTCATATTTAAACGTTACAATGTAAAAAATCCCGAAAGTACTTAAATACTGCAAAAAGTTTTTACTATAAAATTTTCTACTTTATTTTCGATGCTATTTCAAAATAGTTATAATTCATGAAGGAAGGCAATTTAGTCAAATTGTAGCAATAATTCAACTTAAACACAACTTTCATACTCATTTCTTAGCACTGAGTTTTATATAATAAAATGGACTTCAGCCGAAATTCTGATTGCTTATTTAAAATCGGAAAAAATGTAGTAAAATCCATTAGGTAATTTAACAATTTCGTGATTAGTTTTTTTTTTGACAGCATTTTATATCTAACGTAATTTTGTTGCTAGTTAAGACTGATAATTTCTTTAATTAAAATTATCGTTAAGTCAATAAAACTAGTAACCAAAATATACATCAACTTAACGTTTCACCTTAAATTTCTGTCTACAAAAGCTCTACCAAAAATATTGCAAATTTTTAAACATTGAATAAGTATTTGTATATGAGTATTAAATAAAATATTATTTTTTTCCTCATATACTATTAAAATTGCGATACGGGTATTTCTTTTAGGTTCTGTTTTTCTCTTTAGGTTTTTTTTTCTCTTCGCTTTTTTCGCTCTTTCTTAATTCGAAAGATTAATTTCGAAAGATTACTAGATTGCATTGCATATAGCTTTTCTTCTCACTTCTCTTCTATTCATTTTAAATGCATTTATAAAAAAAGGGCATTTATTATATTATAATATCAAATTATGATTTCATATTTTACTGTTGGAACAACTACTACTATTTATCCCGAAAAAAAAAATAGTAAACAATGCAATAAACCAGTATACATAGCATTAAAATATTGCTCCACTCCTTACACTAATTTCAACCAATTCAAATGGATCAGTTTATTCGTATGTCAGAAGCGTGGGAAAAGCACAGATCAAATTTCATTATGGGAATTTTTCGTTCAAGAAATTTTTTCTTTTTGTTTTTATTATTTGTTCTTTCTTTTTATATAATTTTCGTATATTATGTATTTAATAAGAAGTCTGGGTCGGTTTTTTTATTATTGGCTGATGGATTTATGAATATGAATTAATAAAAAACATTTTATACGACATTAAAGATATACCGCAAAAGGACATTAAATGGTAATTATGAGATTTTGAAAAGTACCTACAAGAAAAAAAATTTAGCTCTCTTGAAATTTTTAGTTCATTGGCCTCTAATTATAATTTGGCTTTTTTTATCACATTATTATAAAGGCAAATTTGGAAATTTGATACTTAGGACTGTGTTAAAATTTTTGATAATACACACACAGACACAGACATATAATTAATTTTTGTTTTTTTTTTTAGTATTTTTTTTTTGTATTAAATAAAAAAGTGTGAAAATTTTTTTTAATTAAAAATTTTTGTACTCACGTCTTTTTTCATTGCTTCCAATATTAAGGATTTCAGTTCATTTAAACAATGATTAATTCTTGCCCGACGACGTTTTTCCATAATTGGTTTATTGCTCTGAAAAAAAAAGAGAAATGACTGAAGTGTGTTATATGTATAAGCAAATTTAATTACATGTATATTTTGGTGGATTTATTTTCACTCATACTTATATATTTATGAATTTAAACAGAATATGCCAACTGCATTTGGTATATTTTTTTCTAACAAACAAACTTAGTATTAATCTTAGCTTTAATAATTAAGTTTTTGAATATAAGGAACTCTATAAGCTTTTAGAAACTTTACTGTTCAAATTAATAACTCCATTTACTTATAATTCAGCCAAACGTTTGTTTCCACAAGCCAAATTAGAAAATTCCATTCGATAAAAAAAATTACTCCAAATGCAGTTAACATGTTCTTAGAGCCTTAAGAGTACTTGTTATATCTGTTTTAATTTAAAAATAAAGAATTAAAAATGTTTAGTAAAAAACAACATGAATAAATTCAAATAAACTTATAAACTTTTGAATATTGATCTTAAGATGCTTTTTGAGTTCATTGATTTTGAATTTTTGAATTTTGGTTTTTTAAAACAAAAATAAATAAAACAAATTTTATAATTTCTTTTTACATGTAATAAAATAGGAATCGCAATACATAATGAGAATAGAAATTCCAAAAATTGTGTTCCAGCAAGTTAAACAGATTAATGACATATATTAGCAATCGTACCGTTGAGATACCGTTGAGATTTATATTCGAACTTGATATATAGGTCGAGCATAAATATGGTAAGATCCGCAAATAGATTGCACAGTTTCCGTTAAGATAGGACAAATTAAGATCCCTGAATCCGTGTATCATTACGAAGCAGAAAACAATCTTCCATACTTCTTGCGAGTGTAATATTATATAGAAAGCAGAACAGTGCAACAAAATTGTATTACAGAGACATTGGTATTGAAGGAAGCGTTGCAACAACAGCATTACAGAAATTCGTGCTAGAATGAGAATAAATACAATAGAATTAGAATAACTCTAAAAAGGACGAGGTTATAGCGGAAGGCTATAAATACCAAGCCGTTTTATAGCAAGCAAGGTAAAATAACGAAAACACTTGAGAAGATTGCAAATTTTAGAAAAAATTACAAAAGTAGAATTCGATAGAAAATCCAAGCAAAATTCCTAAATATTACTCGGTGTAGGACAATATAAAGTGGTCAAGTAATTTTGAAAGTCGTGACAGAGGATCCCACAAGATTGAAGTTTTCCATCCTTCACTTTATTTATTTTTCAATTCATTCTCTAATAAATGAATATCCCATTTTAAGTAAAATAACTTCGGACACTAAACTGTAGCACATGATATTTAAATTTTACTAAAATCAATATTGGCTGTATCTAGATGTTGTATTCACTTAGATATGAAAAATCTTATCCAATTATGAATCCACATTAATGGATATCTGACACCAATTACTATGGTAAGAGTACTAATATCATCTTACTTGTATACTGACCAATGACTCAATTATTGACAACATAAGTCATCAACATAGAAATTAATGTCGAACTTAAACCTTTTTTTAAGTTTGATTTTGTTGAAATACGCACACATCTAATAAAATTTTTCCATAAATCATCGACCAAATCAAAAAGTATGCATATATAATTTTTCGGAAAAATGAGCTCTTTTAATTCCTAATCTGTATAACAAAAATTAGAAATATAATTTTTTTTTTGTATTACAAAAGTTTTAGTAAACTTACACAATTCATCAAATTTTATTTACTCGTATTTATAAATTAATTGTTAAAATTTTTAATTTTAAATATTTCACCGCATAGCAAAAAACTGCATTATCGACACCGTATTTCACCGTTAATATAACATATCCGTTTTCATATTGGCAAACAATTCAATTACAAAAAACAGCTCAATTCATTAGGTACATACAAACATTACAAAAAAAATCCAGGAAGTTCCCAAAAAAAAAAAAATGAAGACAAGTCCTTGAAGATCTATTTGAAATAAGTACAAAAAACTACTATAATCTTGCTTAAACATTGCTTGTACAAAAAATAAACGAGTAGCAAAAAAAAACACACGATTGCAGACAAGTTTATTTTGCGTTTTTACAAAATCACTTTCAAACCGTTATAACTTTAAATTTTTGATGGCGGTATAAAAAAAATGTAAAAAATAAGAAAATTTTCAAACCTTTCTTAGTTCAGCTTTAGACATTCCATTTTGATTTGAATTAATATTTCGGTTGTGATTTAAATTCACATTATTATTATTCCCTAAATTGCTATTATTGGACGAATCCATTTCATCCTCCTTATTTGAATATAATGATGTCGTAGAATTATTGTAATCCATATAAGCCTTTGATATTAACTAATCTTTGCTCTTATAATTGATTTGTTAATGTCCTTGTATTTATAAGTATATAAAAATAATATTATAAATCATACAAAAAAATACGTATTCCCCGTTATTAAAATAATTATTTTTCAATATAAAAAAGTTATTTTGTTAATTTTCAAAAGAAAAAAACAAATGCTTTATTAAAAATTGCACTTAAATCCTCACGCATTTAATATTAAAAAAAAAAAAAACAAAAATAAAATAAATTTTAAAAAGAAAATATCTTTCCCGCTGACCGGTACACGTCTTTATCTTAACAAACTTCACAGGATACTAAATTCTAAAAATCATATGTTAACGGAATTTCTTTTCTGCTAAAAATCAACAATAAAATTTCCTTTACTATGATCATCAACATCACTCAACAACATCATTACGATCATTATCATCAGTTCACCTTCCCTCAATGTTATTATTTATTTACTTATACACACATCTACAAATTTTTTTATAATATATTTTTGTCTCGCTCACTTATACTATATCAATTTATATTTATTTGTTTTCTCTTCCCTTTATTTATTTCATTCCTTTCTTATGATTCGTTTATTTTTAATTTATAAAAATTTTTTTACGATGTTTGACGAAGATTTAATATTTTAGAATTCTTATACTTCGTGTACAAGTATGTTCCATCCCCTGAATCAAATATTTTTTGTTGTAAGAGAAATAAATAAAAAAAACCAACAACAAATTTAATGTAATTGCTGTTGTTTAACTGTTCCTGATAGTAGTACCTACTTTAATTTTATATTCAGCTAAACAAAAACAGCAACAACTGCACAAAACAACAATAATATCATTATCATCGTTACCACATTCATATATATATATAACTATATATTATATACATAATGTTGTTTATATATTAAAAATCATCCCTTGAGTGTGGGAATTTAATAATAATACGAGAGTGGTTTATTTTTTTCACTACTTGTGTATAAATGTTTTTCGTTTTCTCTATCTAAAGCACCCCATATATAAAACAATTTATTTAAATTTAAATGTACATGATCATTTTAAATGGTACGAGTATAAAATATAATATGCATGAACATAAGCATATACATGCATATGTACATAATGATATATTTAGCTTTAAAATAGTATTTTTGCTAATTCTTTTGTCTCACAATTTTCAATACTGTTATTCACCCCAAAACAGAAACTGTGGGAATTTTATATTTTTTATTATTTTTATCTAAAGGTATTTTTAAAGAAATTTTTTCAAAAACTTTTGATGGATTGATAATAGATGGACTGAATCATAATATTAATTCTATTTTAAAACTCTAAAGTTATGACAAAATAAAAATTTCAAGAAAATAATTCAAAAAGAGGGAATTATAATAAAATAATAACTTAAAGGCATTCTCTTCTTTATGTTTTGGAAGGCTATGAATGGAGCATTCACGAGATACGGTTTGCTTGCAAATTTGGAATTTAAGGGCAGATCAGATACAACCCCATTTTGTAATAGAAAGACAGGTATTAAAAACTTTGATTCAGTTCAGGTATTTTTTTTGCTTAACATTATGGAAATTGACAAGGGAGCATGACTCCTTCAGTAAAATGCAACAGTGTACACCAATAGTGTGGATACCTGGAGAACGTAATTGAAAAGAACAAATGCACTTTCAGAAATTCGTCATTGTAATTGCCCAAGAACTTTATACTACGTCTGAAGTAAAAGAAAATTATTTAAAGATAATGGCACAATGATAATTATTGTTGGATGATGAGGTTACTATAAACAAGCAGGATGAAAGTAAGATCTATCTTGTTGCACTGTCTGGAGCAGAATCAATTAACGAAGTAAATATACAATATCAACACAAAAATATTCTTAATCCATAGTTTTAATTATATTTCGTTACTTCACAATCATTTTCATCATATTCATGTGTCACTCAAGAAAGTTGGACGAAATTTTAAAATTATAAAAATATTTATAGAAATTTTTTTTAAATTACGATAACTGTTATTCAATAAGAAGTCCGACATAATTAAAATTTTAAATCAAAAATATTGAACAATAGAAATTCAAAATTTCATTATTTAAGAGAAGTTCGTATAATTTCAAAATTAAAGGGAGTGTGCGCCAGGAGAGAAATTATTAGCAGCTGCTATATAAATTCCTTTCTTTATCTATCAAAAATTACTTACATTCATTGTGTCCTTAATAACACAGGTAAAAAACATCTTATTATTGAAAATTGTTAAACAGGAAAATTAAAGTTGAAAGTTTCCCATTTGATTCAATTTAATTTTCATTATAAAAATACACAATTATTATTAGAGAGAATGCAAGCAAAACCAATTTCATATAATTAGATGCTTTTTTCTTATAAAATAATGAAGTTAAGAGACATCTGGAGATATGCTTACATCTTCTGCTTTTCAGATTTCTGGCATGAGCCAAAATTTAATATTTTGCCAAAAAATCGATATCACACATGCATAAATTAGACTATCGGAGTTCTTTACGCTATTTAGAAGTAAAACTCTCAAAAATGTTATCTAAAATTTAAAAAAATAAAATTATTATTTAATTGTCTTTAAATTTAATTGATAAGTAATTGCCGATCAAATTTTTTGCAAATCCGTTCTTTTAAAATTTACGCTAACAGTAGATAGTAGTATCCTTTAATATATCGACACAATTTCTTCAAAATAATTAATCATTATTCTATGAATACCAATAATTGTACTTTTCTTGACAAACAAAAAAAAAACTTTTAAAAAATAACAACAAAATATAAATATTTCCGTCTTTTAATATTTTGTTGGTCAAGTTGCAACATTCAATTAGTTCCGCTTATCCTAAAAGGACAAGTACATGCAGATTCTATTTCCGGTTATTGTAATTTTTTAATTTAATATATTTTTCTTTCTCAATTCTGTTTTTTATATCATAATAGCATTCCAGTTTTTTTCTTAAGTTATTTGAACTTCATTCATTTACATTTTGTTCACATACTATGCAATATCTAATAATTGGAAAACTGAAACTCTATCACAGCTGGTCATTTATTTTTGTATACTATATACTACTAGTTGCATCTTATTATATGAATTGATCCTTTAAGACAATATCCAATATAATCATGCGTCTATTACTGTTCTTTTAATATCCTTACACAACACTTAAACATTAAATATCTAAAAAACCACAAAAAAAAACTTGCATAATATTTGTAATTTGAAAAAGATTTGTATAGTTGAACAATTCAATTGTAGGGTCATACAATTTAAATATTTTTATAGTTATTTAATTTAAAAATTTATGTAGGCAATAATGTCATCAATTCAAACGTTAACAATTTAGCAATTTCAAACTTATATGTCATTATCAAACTTATATATGTATCTGCTAAAACGTACACTTATGTAATCAAAAATTTGAAATTATAAGCATATTTTGGAGATCCGTCTATTGAAAGAGCCTAATAATTTTAGTGATAACTTGATTCTTTTAATAACTTGAATTTTCCAATATATCCCGCTTAACACAAAATATTTTTAAAACCAAAAGAAGCAACTCTAAGAATAAGAAAGTTGTTATATTTACGTTAAAACATAAATTTTATACTGCAGCGATATGTGATAATGCTGTTATAAAAGAAAATACAAAATTACTATTCCCTGGCTTCTCATAGAAATATTGAAGAAAAATAAAAAAAAACAAAAACAAGAGAAAAAAATAAATCTGACCTTTACGATCTGATCGTATAGAGGTTCAAGGAACAAAATCTAATTTTATTTCTTTTCTTCGTATTTTTTTAAATATCAAGAAATAAGAGTCAAATATAAAAGGAAAAATAGGCTAAAGCAAATACAACAACAACAAAAAAAAACGGAACAATTTCCTCACATCCTTATTTCTTTCAAATTGAACCACACAACCAAACATTCAAAATACAACAAGGAAAGAAACAGAAAACCGAATTTGAAATACAAAACAAAATAAAAAATAATAAAAAATTAAAAATGAAAAAAAGCAAAACGAAGCAAAAAGTCGAGAAATGAGAAAATCGACACCGCAGGGAAAAAAATTCTCACGATTACTCAGTTTGTTTTTTTCCTTTTTTCTTCTTCTTTTCTTTTTTTTTTATTTCTTTTTAATTTTAATTTTTTTTTCCTTGTTAATTCATTTTCGAGGATAGAATTCCATTTCATTTTAAAATACTATGGGTTAAGAACGAAGAAAAAACAAGAATTCTTAAAATTGAAAGAAAAAAGAGAAGAAAATTATGTAAATCGCCCTTAGCGGAGTGTTAAAATATTTGATAAGTGTGATATGATAAGGTATAGAATTTAAATAAAGAAAGAATTTTTTTACATATTTTAGATCTGTAATCGAAAATATTTATAATTACTGGAATTAGGAATATTAATGAAATAATTGTTGCTAGTAAGAGAATAAGACAAGCGAATGGACGAAATTGGATTTATTAATTTCCCAAACTCTTTTGAATTTACTAATATAGAACAAGTCTTGTTTTAGGTCTTTTACTTTTAATATTTTGGGAAATTTCCTTACAAGCTACCACGAATTTTTTACTATTGTGAAAATTAAAAAATTAATTTAAAACTTTCATAACCAAAACTCTTTTAAATCATATTCGAATACTTTAGCACTTTAAACCCAAAACACAATTTCTGATTTGCTTAAACTGCATTGCAATATAAAAAATTAATTTCAAGAGAAGCTCAATTTACAAAAACGTATAGCGGTAAATATAAAAAAACAAAAAACAAAACTCTCATTAAACCATTCTCAACATTTAATAATATTTTGTTAATATAAAAATATGTATGTGCATAGGTAAATTTACAATAACAAAAATATACAGGAAACTAAATAAAATTCCCATGCATCTAATTCCGTATTAAACAAAATATACGTACATACATAAGGAAGAAATACAAAATATAAAAAGTATATAAAAATTCGAATATCCTAAAAGGTTTAAATTAAAGGAACAAACACCCTTTGCAGAATTTTTTTTTAAATTAAAATACAAGTATAAATATGAAAAATGTTAAAACATTAAA